TTTTTTTATTGAGCTGTGAGTAATAACAACCAACAAAGCACCACATGAACGCATGCTACAAAGGTAGCCTGAACAACATCGCTACCGGTAAAACAGCAGATGCTGATAAGAAAAGGCTTGCCGTTTTAAAAGTACCAGGTAAAGAATATATGGAGTGTTCTAAGGGATCAGCAATAATCAGTGTCATAACTTGTGGTAAGGCCATTTCAACTTAGGTCAGCTGGTATTCAGATTGGTTTCTACCTCTAGAATCCAGAGTGTGTGTGGCGTGTGTGTGTGTGTGTGTGTGTGTGTGTGTGTGTGTGTGAAAGTAACCATCTCACTGATCAAATGACCCAGCCTTCTGTTTTCAAAACAGAAGAACCATACGGCATGTGTTGACTTCCTGGATTTCTGACCTATGCTCTTTAAACTCAGTGGTGGCAGCTCAGCAATCCAGAGGTTAAAGTGGGAATTCAAAATATTAAATGAGAGGAGAGAAAAATAAGTGAAAGCAGTACTAGTGTATGCATGTACTCAGGAAGACCTCTGCATACTGTGCAAAAGGATCTGAAGGGATGTAAGCTGAGGCTAAGAAAGAATTTCTTAGCAGAGCCAATTAACAAAAAAAATATTGAATTTATAAATGATCTATGAATCTATGACAATGTTAATGCTTTCTTATAAAAGACAATTGGGGCAGTAGTAAAATATCATGCTCTCTGCTTATCAAATTTGCAGTTTAAAAAATGGTAATAATATCTAAAAGTATGTGGAGAAATGGGATATCTAGTATTGACAGGTAAATTAACTGATACAACATTTATGGAAAGCAATATTTCAACATATGTAACACACTGCTAATGTCCAACATCTCCAATTCATTTTGTGACAATCAGATATGTGTAAAATTTAAAAATAAGGATGTTCAGCATTGTTTTACTGTTAACATAAGAAGCAACACAGATGAAGAAAAAGTTTGCATAAGTTATGAAATAAAGAAATGTGCTTTAATCATTTAATGGCCTCATTTAGACAAGTATTAAACGGTTTAGAAAAGAAATGTTGTATATTTTGAGAGGAAAACAGGCTCAAAAATATTTTTACATGGTGCCAATTTCAGCGTGTGTGCATTTTTGTGTGTACACATTGTAAATGAAAGACTACATGAGATAACAAAAAGATTGACTGCTACTGCTTTGTAACAGATTTAGAGGTAATTTAAAAATTTCTGTAAATTTTCTGTTACTCTGAAATAAAGTACATTATGCTTATATTTTTAGTAAGGTCATTTTACGCTCATATATCTGAGATGAATAATGAAAGTCATCATGCGCAGATTATTCCTTTATCACATCTAGGGACACTGGAACAGCTGGTTTTTGTGGTTCTTTCTGTTCCTGGAGTCTTACAGAGAAAGTTTATAGGGCTGGGGTGATAGCTCAGCAGCACAGCACCTGCCTGGTAAGAGCAAGGTCCTGAGCTTGATTCCTGATACCAAAAAAAAAAAGTTTATAAAAAACAGAAAGTGATTTAGAGTCGTAAAACAACACACACAAATCTCATGAGGACACATTGTAAAAAACACATAAATTCACAGAAAAAAATGAGCATTTCAGAGATACCCTGTCTAAGTGTATCTTAATGCACATCCCTTGTGAGCCTATTTGGATGACACCTGTCTTTCATGGTGACAACTGAGTCATTATCACTCTCTAAAAGTGATGATGATGATGGTGATCGTGGTGGCAGAAAAAACAATGGCTATGAATACTAGAACCCTTCTATGCAACTACATGTTACATAAAAATTGCATTTTAGGCCCTAAGATGTTCATTTTGTATATAAAGAAGTAGCAGAAATTAAATAATATGTCCAAGGTATCATGACTAATATTCACACTACAGTAGCCCTTACGCTATGCAGATTTGTAACTAATTCTCAGATTTTATTTTTTTAATGTAAGAGTTCATTTCACCATAGACTTTGGAAGGAGTAATTTCTCTTCTAATCCCAGAATTGTTTATCAGTTTACTAAACAATGGCTGAATTCTCTTTGCTATTTAAACTATGTGTAGGACTATCCAATCTTTTTTGAAAGAAAAAGGCTGCCTCAATAGCTATGTTTCCAAGTTAGCACTAAAATCACTTACTCTTTGAAAGCCTTTTAAAGCTGAACAAATGAGGGCTTTAGTTGTTGATGCTGTGAGGTGTGCGTGGGGAGAAATCTTTTTAACAAGTTTATTAAAATTACTTTACAGATTATTGAATGCTTTATCAAATTTTCAACAAATCTGATAAGAAGGGGACAGCAATGCTGGTTCTGTAGGGAAAAGGTATTCCCAAGCCTTGGTTCACATTCTCACTTTGCCATGGCTAGATTACACTGAAATTCTGGATTTAATCACACACATAACCAAATGATTAGACAAACAGAAAATCGATCTTGTGAACAGGGTCCTATGTAAGTCATCTTGAAATGCAGAAGAAATGAAATTGCCCATTACTTAGGATAATGATCAGTTGGTTCCTAAATTCACTCAGGAAAACAAAGATAGGGTAACAGAAATAAAGGATTTAATTCCCTACAGGACTACTCCTAATACTGAGAATTTGTTTAACATGTGAACAGAATTTTGAAAAGGATTTAAATATTTACCTAAGCTCTGAATACTCAGATAGATAACATGCAGACCTATAGAACTAATCCTATTTCTCAGGAAAAAAATACTTTTATAACGTGTATTATCCTAATCTTGGGCTATCTTAATCTGTGTCTTCAATAAGTATGCATTTGTTAGTTTAGTATTTAATGCAATCTTATTTCTCTTCTTACACAGAAGCTCATGTAACAAACAGTGGTGCGCTTTATTACATGGGAACAGATTTTTAAGGAGATAAAAATTCTCCGTTCCCAAAGTGAATTTTAAGTAGAACACATCAATTCCAATTTTATTCTTCCAATATGGCCTCATCCAATGGCAGGAGAGAGAGAGAGGCATTAGAGACTCACAATTTCCATTCCTTCTTGGCTAATTTTCTCTGGATTGAATAGTAAGGTCAACAGGAAATGTGAATGCACCGTAAGTTCTCAGCTTGCCTGAGCAAAATTTTCCTCTAAACTCTGTTTGAATAATTGTTTTTAAAGTGGATGCTGAGTTCCAAACTTTAGATAAAATATGGTCTCTAAATTCATATAAACTTCATCAATTTTTTAAATGAAATTGATCTTTTGAAGGGTATTCCCCCCCACCCAAACACTAGCAGCTACCCTTTTACAGCATCACAAGGGATCTAAAATTACATTCTGGGACCCTGAAATCTCAGCACAATTGATCATGGAGAACATACTGACACAAAATTCACATATTAAAATACATGTGTAAAATCACTCTTTGCATTTCGGTGTGTCTTTTTCTCTAAACAATGATGCAGCAGAGCAGAAATGTGCACCCAAACGCCTTTCGAGCAAGCTGCAAATAAAATTCTTCCAGGGATGAAAAGAACCAACAAATAAATGAAAACTACTGTTTCCTTTCACTTGTGCAAATAATTGACTCAGGCCATGCTTGATTTAACACCTCTGAAAGGGAGAATGTGAGAACACTCCTCCTCAAGCAGAAGCCAACATAGGCTCTCCCGGGGTTTAGCCTCTTATTTCAGAGTTCTGTCAGGGTGCCTTTATGTTGCCTACACATGCTAATATATCCTTGCTTTATTCTCAGTGCAATTTAGTTTCTGGAAAATCTGCCTTGATTTAACAATTGCTTTGAATATTACCTCCCACAAATTCTCAGCTAATAAGGAGACACCCATTCCAGGATGCATGATCTTCATCAAGCAGAACTGCCTTCTATGAATGCCATTCTAAGGGAGAAGAGCCCTTCTAACATTTTCAGCCAATCCATTGCTTTGAAAAGTCTAGTTTCCACTCCATTTACTTTCTGTATTTGAGAGATGTCATAATTAGACAGAATCAGCTCAAGTCAAGAGCAAATAGCATATACGTGATAAATTAAGTCTATCACTCTAGTGAAAGAAAAGAAAAAGAACTTTGAACAAAAAGGAAAGAAAAGTTGTGATCTTTGGGTGCACTTTATTATTATTCCTTGCTTTAAATAAGCACACTAAAGACACAGGCAAACAAGTACCTCCAGTACCAAATCTTTAATGCCTCCTTTAAGAATGTTCTGGAAGTAAAAAGGTGGTTTAAAAACCAAAAGCTTTCAAAAGATGGCTGTTTACATGGTTGGAACTACTACAAAATGCAGCAAATATTTTGGTTTTCTTTGTGTGTGTGTGTTGTGTGTGTGTGTGTGTGTGTGTGTGTGTATGTGGGCAATGAATGAAATGGCTCTTGCATGCTAAGCACATGCTTTGCCAGTGAGCTTTACACACAGTAATGTTTTTATTTTCTGCTATGATGATCAATTGTCCAAAATCCTACCTTTTTTCTGCAAAATATAAACTAGATAAGATAGGTTAAAAAATGATTTAAACAAAAAAAGAGAAATATATGTCTTCTCCAATAGGCATAGCTTCAGTTACATTTTTATTTATATGAATTTATACTGGTTTTCATCTTCTTTTAGACTCTTAAATAATTTTTTACACAAAAATGTTTTATATAAAATAGCATAATCTGTCTTTCTGATTGACTTATTAAAAATAAGTGAACAAATATGTAAAGTCATGCTCCTATCAACCAAATGATCAGTCACTGTGTTAAATTCTTCATATTAATGTCATAATGATCTCTGCTCAACCTAGGCATTTATTCTAAAGAATCTCAAATTACATATTTTGGGATAGGTTCTTTAATTTCTCTTTACCTAACTTTACTGGATCAAGAGTAATGGAAATAGCCAATCTATCCCAATAGGAGTTATCAGCCAAACAGTAAAACTAACAAGGAGCAATTAGCTAAGTGATTCTATTTTTAAATTACACCTGAGGTCAATGTCCTTAAAAGGTACCCCCACAGAAAGCTTATACTTTGTAATTACCCTTCTTCTACATACTGGGAATTTGTTGGATCCTGTGGACAACGACAAATGCATCAGACAGCCCCACTTTCACTGGATGATTGGTTGAACTTATCTCTGTGACCAAGACAGGAATCTGGAAAAAAACAAAAACAAAAACAGATTGCTAGATGTAAGATTTGAATCTCACTCAGTGATGGGGAGTGTGATAAGCCTGTTTAATGAACAAAATCGGGTGACAGAAATGAAGGATGAGACAAGGAGGAAGGAATATCATAGAAAAAAGACACAGTGATCTCAAAATAACATTAGTTGCATGCTATTTGCTGAATTAAAGACACAAGAGACCGCCTGGTCCTAGAGGATGGCTAGTTGGTATGAAGACAATGAATTCACAGAGGATCTCAGTGTTGCTGGTGCTGCCAGTTTACACAGGTATCCCATGAAAGCACTTCTGCTGGCTGTTTCTGGCATAGAGCTTCTTCTCTTATTATTTGTTTTCCTACATAGTTTATCTTACATTTATTTCTGTGAAGTTTAAAAAAATTCTTGTTTACAAGAGCATAATCAATTTAAAACTTAGGAAAAAATCCAAATCATGCACTAAGTATATATTTAACTATATTACTATTGATTAACATACAATATTTATCAAATAGGGTAATTTCACATGTAGTTAAGTTTTGAATGCATGTTGAACTTCAACATTCTAGGTGAAACACGTAGGGAAAACTTATGAGGTATAAGGGGACATCTCAAAGCCATATCTCTTACATTTGAATAGTAAGGAAACAAAACATCTGAATGCAACAGATACATAAAATATCTGCACCTTAAAATAACCAGCACACATTGAGAATATAGCAAAAATGGTTATGGAGAGTTATGAATTCAAGAGTTACAAATGAGATAATTATTTGGAAATATTTTTCCTAGATTTGGAAAAAACTCCCCTGGAAATAGGATTTCTATTACCGGTTTTATGGAAATAAGAATGAGAATAAAACTGTCTTTAATAAATGACAGAACAAGAGAGAAACAGTGCAGAATAAACACATCAAAAATTCTTTAGATAGAATAAGCAAATTGTGGGCGCCTGTGGGTATTATACTAAATAATGTATTTGATCAGAGGACACTGTGTATGACATAATAAATAACATTGTAATATGAGAGAAAAGAGCTGAGCTGGAAGATGAACTACTTATTTTTTCTCATGACATAATAATAATAATAAATAAGTAATAAATAAATATATAATTTTTGTTGAATTTGACAAACCAAGAAGAAATTTTACTGTTTCTAAAATCTGCATAAAAACCTTAAAATAAATAATTGAAAAATTACACTTCTCCATTGGTACTATTTCAGGTCTCTCTTGAATGTTGATCCTTAACCAACTTTCAGAAGTATTCTATTTGGATGATAGAAACACTTAAATCAAAATCAAACTATGATTTTTGTCACTAAAAGCTCATTTGCTAACTGAAAGTCAAATATATTTTATTTAGTGACATACTGAAGCACTCAATATTAATAGATGCGATCCCTTTTCTCAATGGACGTTAATACATTAGATGTTGAATGCCCCTCAAATACCCATGTTAAAGGACTGGACCCCAGTAGAACTACAATGGCATTTGTCCTTTCTTTCATTCTCCTACATTGTGACTACAGTTTTCCTCTCAAGTTGCAAAATACATTACTAACTAATTCAGTGGTAATTTATTGTATTTCTTCTTTTCCCAAAGTCCCAGTAGAACTTGAGTTTATATTACTGTCAATCGAGAAATCCAGTTATGAATACTACATGTTGCTATGACCTGCGTCACTATACATTTTATTGTTATAAATACTATACTGTGTAGTTTTACCAGATTTTGTTTTCAAGGTCATGTATCTTGGGCCTTTCAACCCTCCCAGCAATCTCCTACTCTTTAGCTTTTGTGTTCTACCTTTTCTGTCTCTCCTGGTTTTTTGTTGCTGTTTTTTTTTTTTTTTTGTCAGCCATCTTTCCTTTGATTTTTTTTTCCTCCATCTTTTCTCTTCCTTTCATTCCCTTTTTTGCATTTTATTTCTAGATACAACCTTTTTCTCTACAGCTTTTGTTCCCCCTGTGTGTATTAATTACACTTCTGGCCTCAATCCCTGCCCTCCCTGTGTCTGGGTACTTTACCTTCTAATTTTACAATGTTCTCTCACTGAGTCCAGGCAAAAGAGGGTAACAGCAAGAATGTAGCAAAAAGAATTTTTGAAAATACTTTTAGGTTTCTCTTTCCTTTCTTGGACTTTTGAGTCTCATAGGAAAAGGTACCCTGCTGGTCTACTGAAGAGACTGCTGAGACACATGAAGAAAAGATTTCTTTCAAGCAAAAAATATCCAGGCAGCAGCAGAGTCCAACCCAAAGCAGGAGAACCACCAAGTTAATCCATAGGTATCTTGAGTAATAAGAAATGAAATTGTTTTAAGCATGCACATTTGGGGGAGCTTTGTTATACAGCTCTTCTAACCAATACATTCTCTATAGATAAAATGGCCAGCACAACTTTCTATGGGTGTTTCCACATAAGATGGAACAGTTTTCCTTTTCCTAGTTTTCTGGGAATCAGATAAACATTTCTACAATTCTACACACAATTAAACTTGAAATATCAAGATGTTCCAGTTGAAAAGTTTCATTTTTGTACCTTTAAATTTTTTTCTATGCAGATATTTCTCACTTAATGGCTACCTGTTTAACAAATGCTCAGACTTATGACCGAGGTATGCTGTTCAGATGAATAACCCTCTGCTTAGACTTATGACCTGTCTCCTTTTTGTACAGTTCTGTGTATCTTATTTTTTAGAGCCTCAATATCTTGTCTTTGTACAGTATACCTTGTGCATATAATCCTGTAGTGTTACCTGATTTTACAGTGAAGCACATTACTAGTTTTATACTGTTATATAATCACAGTACTCCATGTAAGAATCATGCAAATAAAAGCAAAGTCATCAAATTGGAGTTTTCTTTGTTCTTTGTTCCTTTGTTCCAATTTCTTTGTGCTGAATACTGTAATGTGCATACTGTATACAATTCCTCATCTAGCAACCAATTCAGCCAATGACCTAGTTTCAGGAGCAGAGCTTGGTCATTAAATGAGGATTATTTGTATCTCTTTACTCTCTATTACATTTGTCTGTGGATTCCAAAGCCTAAGACCAATGTATGCCAGAAACCTAGATGTAAATTCTTTTAACCTGAAGAAAGTCCGTTCAAAACAAAAACCGGCAGCCTCAAGGTATATTGAAATTTCTATCACTGAAAATTATTATATCACAGATTGACTAACCCTTTGGGAAGATCACTGTTGATGATTTTTAAGGACACTTTCAAACCTCAAATTTTTATTCCCTGGTACGGACGAATTTTGCCTTATAACGGTTTCAACCCATAAACTGACCCAAATAAAAATTATAAGAGTGAAATATTCTACCTGTTTGCAAAAAAGATTAAAAATAGGTTAAGGCCATCTTTTGCAGCTATAGGATGCATTTGACTGACAGTTTTAAAATGTACATGTTGATGAGTTAATGACTTCTGAATACTGTGTTTGACAAGCCACTCTTATTTGCTATGTAAATATCTCTACTATGATTCTTATTATGATATTTGAATATAAAGTAGAAATACACTTGTAAGAAAAATGTGTACCACATATAATTGTTTTCCTCAAGGGGCATATACATTTGAGGAGACAGAAAAATTCATTCATTCAATCATCAGATATTAACTGAACATATTCTCTGTATTATCATGGGTATTGAAATTATAGCAAAGAAAAAAAAAGAACTCTGCTTTCATGGCGCTTATAATCTAGAGAATAAAGACAGATATCAGAGCAAAAGGATATAAAAATGCATTATGTGAGAAGGTGGTCATACTAAGAAGAAAATTGAAACAAGGTAAAGAGATAGGGAAGGGAACCCTCAGAGAAGAGCCCTAGAAGGTCTCTGTTAAGATCCCATTACTGCAGAAATTAGAAGGAAGTCACAGAGCTTGCTATGTGGGTACTAGATGGTCAGCACAGGCAAGGGGCTGAGCTCAGTTGCCTTTGTTATGCGCTATGAGTTGAAAAATTATCTTCATGGTTAGAGAAGAAGTTGTAAACAAGAGTGTTAAAGGATGTGGGGAGTGGTAGCGTCAATCATAACAGGCAATAATAACACTGGATTTTATTCCAAGAAATCCAAGAAGATTTGGAGAGTTTTAGGCAAAGGAAAGAGATTCCTGTACGTTTGAATAAAATCATACTAGCTGCCAGGTGCCGAAGACTGTAGGGGACAAAAGGACGCAGAGAAAGGGGTTAGGAGGATATTAGTTTGGCACGGCAGAGATGGGCAGCTTTGTCCACACTCGTGTGTTAGATGCAGCAGAATGAACCAAAGAACGAATCTGAGATGGACTGAGTAGGTATCACTAGGAAGGCATCTATGAACTTAGTAAGGGCAGCGAGAGAAGAGCGTAACAGGTGCCACTAAGACTTTCAGCCTCAGCAGTAGGAAAAACGGAGCTGGGCATTCCACCTGGAATCCTTTGTTGGGCAGCTTTGTGGGTTCGTTCACCTCACAGGCTGTATGAAGGGCATCTTCTGTTCATGTAGAGAGCAACTTGTCAGCTGCGAAGAGCAAGACCAAAGTAATACAGAAATGGAGAAGACCAGGAGAGGAAGGCTGAGGGAGACAATCACTTTATGGTACTATCATTAGCTTCAGATTTTTTTCTCCAAAGTTTTATAGAGCTCATGCCCAAGCACATGAGGCATCTAAAACAATGGTGTTTTGTCCTAATTAAGCAATAAAATGAGGACGTTGAAGAAATTTCTCTTCCCTGCATTTCCCTAGCAACCATCCAGACTTCAATGAAATGATTGTGTCCCAAAGTTACAGAAAAAGAAAAAAAAAAACAAAAAACCGCTTTTGCCAATTCAGTTAAATACCTAATATCATTAAAAAGTAATGAAGAAAAAAAGGGAGCCAGTCCGGGTTTGAGATTTCCTACGGAAATGTATCTGCCTTTCCCCAACTGATATGGTTGTATCACTCTTCCCCGGCCTTCTTGGACTGTGATCTTTTGCTTCACAATTTCAAAGACAG